CCCCCCCCAAAAAAAATGTTCCAGGCAGGAACTTCGCTGTCTTTCTAACCAAGCTTTGGAAGTTATATAGTATCTTTCTACCACTTTCTATTAGTTAGAAGTCAGTTCCTAGGGCCAGTGCCTATTTAAGAAGAGAATTAGACAAGAATGTCAATGAATCTGGATTTGTTTTAACATTCTCACTGCACATATTTTAATGAATAATGTTTTTATAAATTCAAGTCATACTGTGTATAAAAGTTTTTAAAATGAACATATTCTCAAGTTTCATAGTAAAGCAGATAACGTTCTTTGATAACTACATTCATTTGAATATAACAGTGAATTGAACTAAGTGTATGAAATGTAAATTTCATTGTGTTACATTTTACTCTTTTCAGGAAGAGTTCTTCCATAATCCTCACTCAATAGATATTGAGTCTGAGGACTTCACCAGCCTACCCCCGGAAGTAAAGCATGAAATCTTGACAGATATGAAAGAATTTACCAAGCGGAGAAGAACATTGTTTGAAGCAATGCCAGAGGTGACAAAGATATTAGTATACAGTAGTATGTTAATATTTAGAATAGAAAAACATCAGCAGAACTTTTTATTAGAAAGAAGAGAAATTTGATAAGCAATACTGAAATTATATGTTAATTTCTGGTAATAGAGTTGGAAAGGACAGGAAGGAAATGCAACAGGCTGTCGTGACATTGTCCCTGGGCAGTGACACAATGGGCAATTGTTTTTTCCTTTGTCATTTGAGCTTCTTCAAATATTCTGTAATTAACGTATTAAGGGGAAACAGTTACATTAAGTTTAGAAGTCCATTCTAATGCTAGTTTGGAGTCTGAGAGTAACATCTGTGTTATAAATTTTCCATCTTAAAGTAAATGTCACAATCCATTATAACTGTTTGCACAGTTGTGACTCAATCCATAGTTTTAGCATAAAACAGAAGTATTTTTGTTGTTTAAGAACATGTATATTTAATGATGAAGGAAAGATTAGTAAATTCTCACAGTTACCTTCTCTTTGTAAATTGCAACCAATAATCTTGTTTTATACTCTTAATGGAAAGTACATTCTCTAAGTATGTCACCTGAATATCTATCTGGCATAGAATGCAAAATTGATGAGATTAAACATTATCTCTGAGGGAAAAAAATGAATTCACCAAGCAAAGAACAACATTATTTGAAGCAATGCAGAGGTGAAATGGGCATTAGTTACAATTCCATAGTTCTTCTTTTGCCCACTGCAGGACAGAAGCAAATCTTGTGACATTATCCCTACTGAGGGACATAGTAATTTTTTTAAAAAAAGTTTTCTGCAGATTTTGAGTACTTCTTCAATTGACATGAAAAGTAGGAAAAGGGCAGGATATGTTTCTTTTCCTTTCACTTTCTTCTGTTTTCCCATGTGGGATGTGAAGATGGGAAAGTACTGAGGTGCCAAGAAATGAGATGCTTGGGTCTTTGGGTGTACAGAAGTAAATTGATTTTTATTTCAGGGAAAAATATTTGGGCCCCTTGTGTGTATCAGGCATTTTATTTCATGTACAGGATCTCCGTAGTACTTGAGGAAATAGGACGCAGTTCTTCCTTACCTGCTCCTCCTCTCCTCCTTAGGGCAGCGTCTCGGGTGCAGTACTGAAAGGTGGTGTGGAATAGCAGCTTGTCCCATCTCTCATTTTGATGGAACAGAGATGTTCTGAGTCTTCCGGGTTTTGTATCACCTGTATGTTGTGTAAAGGTGATGTTGATGCTAGTTGTGAGGGTGAGCAGTAGTACTAATAGTAATAGTAGTAGCTCAATTTTGTAAATCTGTCTGCTTTGGATCCCATATCTACTACTTATTAGCCATGTGCCTCTGGGCAAGTTACTTAACCTCATTTGCAGAAGGGAAATAATGTCTCATAGGGTGGTTGTGAGAAAAAATTGAGATGGTTTATATCAAAGTGTATAGAAGAATGCTCTTTACAGGAAAGCTTTGTAAATTTTACTATTACTCTTAATAACTGTGATTGCTGTGCCTTATGGTGTATGTCTTCTATGGGCCAAGGACAGTGTTGGGCACTTGCATTCTAGATTATGTGTTAAGCCATGACCAAGATTGTTATGTGTATACTCAATAAATATTTTTGATTAAATTGTGACAGTACCCAAAATTTCTATATTTTTTTGCTTAATTCTTTTGTTTTAAAGATTATTTTTTAAAGGCAGTTATAGTCTGTCCTAGTGTCAGTTTTTATTTTTAAATATGTTACAATATTGTAAAATAAACCAATGTGTTTATATAATATGAAACTACCACTAATTAAAACGGGCAATTATTCTTTGTCCCCTTTTGGGGGAAAAGGTGGAATAGTGTCTGTATTAAATGTAAAACGGTAATTTTATTTGTTAATTTTGCCTCTAGGAGTCCAATGACTTTTCCCAGTACCAACTCAAAGGCTTGCTTAAAAAAAACTATCTAAACCAGCACATAGAAAATGTCCAGAAAGAAATGAATCAACAGCACTCAGGACAGATCCAGAAGCAGTATGAAGAAGAAGGGGGTTTTCTGAAGGAGGTAGAATCGAGGAGAGTGGTCTCTGAGGACACTTCACACTACATCTTGATAAAAGGTATGTAATGGTTCTGAGTTCAGTAAACTACCGGTCTTGGATAATGATGGTGAGGTCTTGCTTATGCAGCTATAAATGAATGAACCCAAAGCCAACCCAGTTTAAAATTAACTAATTTGCTGATTAACTAATCTATTAGCTAAAAATTAATTGCTGCTTAGCAAAAATTGTAACTTCATTTATGGGAACCAATGATGTCTCGTTTGTCTTTCTAGAAGTATATGGTCACACTGTGAACTATGTGGTGAGAAGTGTTTTACTTTTTCTTAAGGTGTTCAAGCTAAGAAAGTGGAAGATGTGGGTTTGGAGTCTCTTCCTTCTTCCAGCAAAATGGACAACATTTCTTTTGACATGAAGTCATCTCCCTGTGAAAACCCAAAGCCAAAGAAAGAACCTGATGCCACCCCTCCTTCTCCAAGAACACTGCTAGCTCTGCAAGCAGCCATGCTGGGCAGTAGCTCCGAAGAGGAGCCTGAGAGTGGAGCCCCAAAGCAGCACAGCAAGAGGGGTGCTGCTCCAGACCAAGGCTCTGTATCACCACGGACCCTCTTGGCCATTCAGAGAGCTCTTGATGATGATGAAAATGTGGGAGTGAGTGCCGGGGACAGCATGCAGGCAGGAGGGCCAGGAGTGAGGACGCTGCTTAGAGACAGCCCCGGCAAAGAGCATGCTGAAGGGCCTAAAGTGAGAGAAGGGGGAGCAGGGCTGCTCACCTCGGGCCCCCCTCCAGCCAACGTGCACTTCCTGGAGGAGCCCGGGGCCAGCCCTGGCAGTGGAGAGGAGCTGACAGACTCGGCTCATTTGTTGAGCACTGTGGTTAGTCAAGACAGTAAGTCTGACGTTCCAGAAGAACACATGCCACTCACTCACACGGAGAAGGGAGTCTCTCAGATGAATAGTGAGTCCACAGATAAGGCTAGGAAGGGTCCCCTTCCACACAGTGACAGGCCTGGGCTCCCCCTGGGACAGGAACTGACACAGACACCTCCCACAAGCACAGCTTCTGAACCCAGGAGCGAAGCACATGCTGAGGAGCTCGAGCTGCGGGCAGGTCCTGGCCCTTCCCAGAGTGGATATGATTCTGCTTTGTCAAGCGATGATGAAAGAGAAGCTGGAGCAAAGCCCTCTGAGGTCGCTGGCATCAGCACTTTACAAGAAAGGAGGGACATAGTAAGTGTCCCTTCAGAGGCAGTAGGTAACCTAGAAAATGCCGTGCCCGTAAATGCTGCAGAGCGTGAGGATTTCCCAGAAACCTCCCAGGAATTCGAGATAACTACACCCGCGGGCCAGGAGCTAGTGTCAGTCTTGAATTCCTTGGAACCAGTGGAGATGGAGTCTGAAGAAAGTGAATCTGATGGTAAGCGCTGTGCTATTTCCGAGCGGCAGAGGTGGGGTGGGAGCTGAGAGGCTCCTTAGCGTAGCCCCGTTCCCACTTTTTACAGATGAGAAACCAGAAAGAGGTGAAATGACTTTGTAGGGACTCACAGCTGGGACTGCGTCCTCATCCGTCCTGCTTTGCAAAGCTCCATCATTGTTGGCTATAAAGTGGGGGTAGTGCCCTAGAGGGAGAAGGCAGAGCTGGGCTTTTCCTTTAGCTCTCAGGCTCCTTTGCCAGTATCTCAGTGACAAGCACTTTGTATTTGTTTTATCATTTCTTACTTTGTCTGCCACTGTTGTTAGGCTTTCTCCCCATGGATATGATATATGTGTCTATTTCTGTATGCACTTATATGCTGCTGGTGCTCATTATGTGTAGATGCTACATTTGTATAAAATTATTTGTAGCTCTAGAGTCAGTACTTAATTATTTGTAACTCTAGAGTCAGTACTTAGTGTCGTTTGCCAACATTGCAGGGTGTGGGGATTTCTATTGCCACACTATCCCCCAATGAGGTCTGCCTTGATTCGGCGCTCCTGCAGAGAAGGCCAGAGGGTGGGAACAGTGGGGTGGCAGTGTAGTAGAAGCAGCTGCAGCATTGGGGTTTGCATCCCAACTTCAGAACTTGTGAGTAGGGCCACCTCGGGGAAGCCACCCAACACTTCTGAACCTCGTTCCTCGTTGTAAAATGGAGAAAAGGTAATCTGCCAAGATGGGTTGTTTAGTAGGACCAAAGTTTATGTGCAACATGTTCATATAGATGCACATACTTCCCTGCAGGAGCAATGACCCTCTTTTTGCCAGTTTAGTGTTCACGTAACTTTATAAACCAAACCCTGCATGACGAAGATCTTCGTACACATACACTCTCATCTTGTGTCCTGGTGTCTATTGGACCTCTACATTCTAAACTCATGGTTTCCCAGCTGAGATTAATAAGTCCAGTGCACCTGAACACACGTGTCGACACTTGTTTTTGTATCCATTGATAACTTTATCTGTGTAAATTGTAGCTATGATAGTTACCAAATGGGGCTTTCTAACTGCCTCATTCCTTGTATATTTATCAGTGGGCATCCTACTATAAGGAAGATCTGTCTCTACGCCCTCATTTATTTTTAATTTTTTTCTGTGTGGCCTCCTGGATTCTGGCTTTATTCAGTGAATTACAATCTGATACTCTGACAGTTTATTTTTTTGCTTGAGTTGTCCCAGCTTTGGCCAGTGGGGCCTCTTCAGTCTGGCTCCTGTGGCTTTCTACAATCCCCCCTCACATTTTGAGCATTTCCTTACTTTCTGGCCTAGATGTTCCAGGCCTGTGTTGCACTCATGCCCTGACCCTGATCTTCTCACCAAAGACTCCTTCTTTCAGGGAGCATGATGTTTAGAAAGCATGGCCAGGTTCAAAGTGCTCACTGTTTCCCTCAGTATCAGAGCCTGGAGCTACATTTACGTATACATACACAGATGCATGTGTGCACACATCTATATTTATTTCTGGGTCTATCTTTGTATTAAGATCCAGGTGTTCACACTGATATCTGTAATTCCCAACATCCAGGGTTTATTCTAACCTCCCCTGTCTTTATAATTTTCTTTTTTTAAAATATTTTTTTAGTTGTAGATGGACATTTTTTGTTAGTTTATTTTTATGTGGTGCTGGTTATCGAACCCAGTGCCTCATGCCCCTATCATTTTCTTAACAGTGAGAAACTTCCTCCCATTATCTTCAATATATTTACCTATCTGCTATTTCTTTCTTTATCTATAATGATCTCCTCTTACCTCTGGCTCCTCCCCGGTCTGGTCCTCTCTGTCCTGATTGTTTCCTCACACAAATACGTGCAAGCCCCCTCCCCTGAAAGCAAGGAATGGAACCAATGTATATTTATTAAGAAAAAATAACAAGAGAAGAGGAAAGGAATGTGGAAGAGAAAGAACTATTTCTCTGAGTATTACCCAGGATTCTTTCAGCTTTATTTACTGTTTTCATAGTGAAATGACATAAAGTCATATTTAACAATCTATACTTGATAATTTTTCTTTTTGAATTTTTTTAAAAAATATTTTTTATACCTTTATCTTGTTTATTTATTTTTTATGTGGTGCTGGGGATCGAACCCAGTGCCTCACACATGCTAGGCAAGTGCTCTACCACTGACACAACCCCAGACTCCTTTTGAATTTTAAAAACAATATTAGTTAACTTAGGACATATAGCAGTTGATTAATCTAATATGCAAATCTTAGAGTTTGATTTCTACCTTCAAAGACAAGTCTATCTAATTGAAAAGGCTTGTTTTGAAGTTACATGCATTTGTGATTGAGTTTGTTTAACCGTAACATTAATTGCATGTATTCTACTAAACTCAGATTTTCTCTTTGGAGACAACATTTTTCAGGGTTCTTCAGAAAGGTGTTGATGGTTTCAGGATAATTTCCATGTTCCGGTTGCAGATGAAGTGACTCTGTTATTTTGGTACAGGAAGCTTCATTGAAGTGCAGAATGTGACAAGTGATGATGAACTTGAAGCTTCTGAACCTCCCTCTGAACAAAGTGAAGAGGAGCCAAGAGGAACTGAGGAGGAAGAAGCCCCTGGTGGCACCCAGAGCCTCCTACAGGACAACTCGGAAGGCGAGGACTCTGATACTGACCCACGCAAAGAAGCTGAAAAGCAAGCAGAGGACTCCCTGGATGAATGGCAAGATATCAACTTGGTAATAATGCAGCATGTTTCAACTTATTGCTAAGAAGCTGACCTCAGTAGCTTTTGAGTTTTAAGAGTTGTTGGATGAAAATTTATTAGCTGATTGCAATGAATCTTCTTGTTGATGACTTCTTTTCTATCTAGATTACTGTCTGGGATAGACTCTGCTTTTCTTGTGACTTAGTGAGGGAGCTCAGGTATTATAGTCTTGCTCAGAAATCTATGTGGAATGCTTCATGAAGAGAAGAAGGTTGTTGATATTTTCAGTCAGACTAAATGCAGGCTTTTTGTAACAAATGAACTTAATTGGATTATTAATATAATTATCTGCAAATGAAAAATGATTCTATAGGAGGAGCTGGAAACCCTGGAGAGCAACCTCTTAGCACAACAGAATTCACTCAAAGCTCAGAAGCAGCAGCAAGAGCGGATAGCTGCCACTGTGACGGGACAGATGTTCCTGGAAAGCCAGGTGTGTTCCTTGGCTGGGGCATCCGCATCCCTTCCTTAGACCCCAGGGAAGGCTGGATGGCGTGTGGTTGCACTGCTTCCTCTGGCTGCAGCCTGGGTGCATTTCCCCAGGGCTGTTGTGTCTGATTGCAGGAGCTCCTGCGCCTGTTTGGCATTCCCTACATCGAGGCTCCCATGGAGGCGGAGGCGCAGTGTGCCATCTTGGACCTCACCGACCAGACTTCTGGAACCATCACCGATGATAGTGACATCTGGCTGTTTGGAGCACGGCATGTCTATAAGAACTTTTTCAATAAAAACAAATATGTAGAATACTACCAATATGTGGACTTTCACAACCAATTAGGTAAGACCTCAGAGTAGATTTCTGAAATTTACCTTTGTTATTTGCCTTATGCATTGTTTTCTTTCCAGGGAACTAATTTGATGCCTTAATGGAAATGGTTAGGTGCATACAAGTTTTCATATAAGAGATCTTTTACTTAAGTGGAGAAATAGAATTTTGCAAACTGGACTTCAATCAAAGTCCTGGTATGTTTAGTTTTTTTCTGAGCTTAATCATCTGACCTGGTTAGTTGACTAGTCATTAGCTCTCCAGAGTGAACCAGGGTAGGAGAGAGGAATCGGGTGGAGTGACTCCTGCCCATGGCCCACGCTGGTGTTCCTGATATTGGTTACTCTTTCTGCAAATACCACATCAAGTGATCCCTGAATGCCAATTATTCTTGATAGGGAGATGGAATGAAGCAGTCTAGTAGGAGAAACAGATAATGAGCAAATGTATAAGTTATTGACAGTTTGGAGAAATTGTATTTATAGGTAGCCTTAGGGGCCTGAAGGAGACCTGCAAGTGCTTTAGAGGAGCACTTGGTGATAAGTGCTCAAAGGGACTAGCAAGTGCAGAGGCCCTGAGGCACAAGTCCCCTCCCAGGAGGCTAGCAGGAGTGGGAAGAGTTTCTGTGGTAGGAGAGTATGGAGAGACCTGGGTCAAGGCCGTTGTGGTATGTTGGAGGAGGGAGTGTGGACCAGCTGGTGTGGGAGGGGAGAGGAGAGGAACAAGGTACCAAGCAGCCTGTGGTGTGGACCCACCATCAACAGGATGAGGGAGACTAGGAAGAGGAGTGGAACTGGGAGAGGGGAGAGTTCAGGCTGGAATGTGTCAAATTTGATATGCCCATGGGATCCCCAAGTGGAGATACAGAGTTTGTAGTTGAATATTTGCAACTGTGGTTCAGAGACAGCCAAGCTAGATAGTTAAATTCAAAGGTTAGCTTGTAGACGGAATTTGAAGCTGTGAGAACAGAGAAACTTTAAAAATCTGAACAGAATGCCATTTTAAAAAATCTATTTCAGATAATAAAAGGAGATATCTTTGGCTGTTGAGTGTGTGTGTATATGTGTGTGTATGTAACATTTATATAACATTTATGTAAATTATGTAATTTATGTGATTATGTTTATAAATGTTATAAAATAAATATTTAAATTAAGATTGCTACTCTTGTAGGATTAGACCGGAACAAATTAATAAACTTGGCCTATTTGCTTGGAAGTGATTACACTGAAGGAATACCGACTGTAGGCTGTGTGACAGCCATGGAGATTCTCAATGAATTCCCTGGACGTGGCCTGGAACCTCTCCTAAAATTCTCGTAAGTTCTTTCTACAGTTCTTTAGTTCAGATGTTTGTATAAATACCCATTCTAGCAAATGGAACTTTTTCTCAAGTCATGAGCTGTCACAGATCACTGTGGACTGAGAGACTAGCACGAGGTGCCCGTTGATCCCCTGGAGTCCTCATGAGATCAGAGTCAGTTTCCTTCTTGAGTGGCACCAGGCTTCTCCTGGTCCCAGGGGAGGAGTGTACAAGCCATTTTGTCCATTCAAGTATTTATTGAATCGTTAGATGCTGCAGGCCTTGGGGATATGAAGGATGAGCAAGTCACTGCCCGAGGGGCTTCCCGTGCCCTTGGGGTGTGAGGATCAAAGGTGCTTGCACTGTGTGTTCAGTGTTCTGAGGCCTCCAGGTGGCTGTCCTGTTCCTCTCCTTGTGAATTCTGTGGTATGTCCAGTTGTGGAATCTCATTTGGTCTAGAGCCCAGAGTCGTGCCGTTCAGCTATTAGTTCTGGTGACTCTGAGATGGTAAGAGTCATCAGCACATCTGTGAAAGTAGTTCTTTCTTGGGGCTATAGCTCAGCGGTAGAGCATTTGACTAGCACGCATGGGGCCCCAGCACTGCAAAAGAAGAAAAAAAAAAAAGAAAGAAGAGACAGTTTGCACACACCATAAAAGTCACCCCTGAAGTGACTAGTTCTGTGGTGTTTAGCATAATCACAAGACGTGATGGCATCTTCTGGCCTTGGTAGCAATTTGATTTTGTATTCTCTACAGTTATATCTCCTCTGTCCTGTGGTTGGAAAATGTGGGATGTTCTGGTCTGGAGAACCAGTGATCAGAGTCACTGGATGAAATAAGAAATTGTAGTACTGACTGCTGGCCTATATTCAGACTTACCACACACACCAGTGTATCTTATTAATGCTTTCTTTATCTCTCTTCCCATATTTTTCTTATTGTTGATGAAATTTATGTACCAGGGTTAAGTTACTAGGTCACTCATATATCATGATAGGTAAATAACTTGGAAAAAAATGCCAAGTAACTTTATTATACAAATGAAATAAATACATAACAATTTGTAAAGTGTGGATTCAAAAGGACCTACTTTAAATATTTTGCTTTATATATTTTAAACTTTTCTATGCACATTATACTCAATGTACATTGTAATTACTTTTTTAAACCAGGTTGAAACTGTGTTATATACTTAGAGTCAGCTTTAGCAGTTTCTCTCTTTGATCTAGCTGCTTAAAGACAAGATGGGAGCAGCCTGGTCCCTGCCTGACTCAGAGGTTTAGGATGGTGCAGAGTTAATGAGGAGGAGTGGTGGGAGGCCAGTGGAGCTGAGTGTGCGACCATGCTTTTCTGTTCTCATCATCTCCTAACCAGACCCTGGCTAGTCAATCATTCTTTAAAGTGGAGCTATTCTGGGCCAGCAGGCCGTGTGTAGTCAACTGATTCTGGTTTGGCCTACTCTCTGTGTACTTTAATAGAGCCTCAATTTTTGAACTGGCTACCAACATTTGAATCTGGGGCGATTTCACAAGAAAATTTAGCTTCTCTTTGGGGAGATGGTTCCCTAATCGTCCCACAGCAGCTGAGCTGGAGCAGCAGCTGCTTCCGTCCTACACACCAGTCCTTCAGTTTCGTCACAGGTGTCACTACGCCCTGCTCTTCTCCCACAGCCACTCTGATTGACAGATGCCACAGTTCGTCCTAGATGTTAAGTGTCTGGCCCTCTTGTTTAAGGAGTAGTGGTCTTTTTGGCTCCATGAGCCCAGTGTGCTGAGCACATTCTCCTATCTGGCAGTCATGATGAAAATTCAAAAGTGAAGCAGTGGTGGCAGGCTCGTGGGCATTTCCCTAGGACACCGTCGGAAACAGTGTTATAAAAGTGATGAAGATAGATGACGATTATTATTAATTATTTGTGTGTGTGTGTGTGTGTGTGTGTGTTTTGATTCAACGAAGACTGCAGTTAGTCTTTTCAACAATAGATGGCACTCGTGTGTCATGAGGTGGAACGCAGGCTGATACCACTCCATGAATTAGTTCCCAACACCAGTAAGTGGGAGAAGCAGTGTTTTTTGGTTTTGGTTTTGCTTTTTTGTGAGTCAGGGGACAGGTATGTTCCATTGAGTCCATGGATTGGTGAGGGTTATTTTTATGTTTTTAACTTTATGCTGTTTATTTTTCCTGGTGTTCTGCTGTTGCAGTACAAACTACCTTGTAATCTCAGGGGCTTCAAATGGCAGAAGTCATTGATTTTGCTCATGAATCTAAGGTTTAGTCAGCTTCCTGGGTGTGTTTTGTTTCTGCTCCATGTTGTTTGAACAGCTCATCTGGGCTCAAGGATCTGTTTAAATGGCTGACACACACGTTGACCAGGTGGTCTTACTGTCACTGGGAGTCCAGACAAAGCTGTGGGTGGGGCTTTGCACCCACTCCATCTGGACCTGCTCGTGAGACTGGCTTCCTCAAAGCCTGGTGGCTGCTTCCAAGAGCAAATGTTCCAAGAGGCAGGAAGAGGAAAGTGGAAAGGATATCCTCCTAGCCCCGCACAGTGTTACTTCCTGTCTGTTACCCTGGCCAGCCAGTCCCAGAGCGTCTGGCCCCACTTCTTTCTTTCTTTTCATAGGTACATATTAATTATACAGAATATTGGGCTTTATTGTAGAATTTTCATACATGCGTATAATTCAATAAATTTAATTCCTCAGAACCTCCCCCAGTCCCACATTTTTATGGAAAGAATGTAAAAAAAAAAAAAAATGTGGCTTTCTTTAACCACAATGGATGAGTTCAAGAAATAATAGATGAGTATTAGAATGGAAAAAATTGAAAAATGGATAAAATATAAAGAAAAAATAGCCATATCTTTGCTTAGAACATTGCTTAACACACAAGAAAGTAATATTTTGTATTATTTATTATTTTTAATATCTGTTGACCTTTTCCCATTATATGTTCCCCTCTGGGAAAAGAAATGATAGGATGCTTTTTGTTGACTTATGTTTTTCAACTATAAAATTTATCATGTTCTTGGCATTTTCACCTTTTATTGAATACTCTTGTATTCATCAATGCATTTTGTTAGAGGTGAAAATGCAGATACGTTGCTTCATTTTACTACTGAGAAGGAGACCTGGAGAAATTGTGTGTTAGTGTAATTATGCATGAAGGCTCTGGGAGAGGCTTTTCACTTCCAACTACAAATCTTGAGCAAGTTTCTTCTTTCTGAGTTCAGTTTCTTCTTTAGGTGAGGCTGATGATAGGACTCGGCTTGTATGGTTGATTATTGGGTAGATAAAATATTGAACAGTACCAAGTACTGAGACATCATTTAATAAATGTTCCCTATCACTATTCCTCGTGGTTAATAATACTGAAAGCAATACAATGAGTGTTCTATACATCATTCACTTTGCACTGGAGTTAGGATTTGATTTTTCCATTTCTGAACTCTACCTTCAGTTCTTTACCCCAGTGTATGCACTGCGCTGTCTCATTACTTTATAAATATTTTCTTTACCTTATAGAGAGTGGTGGCATGAAGCTCAAAAAAATAAGAAGATAAGACCCAATCCTTATGACACCAAAGTGAAGAAAAAACTACGGAAATTGCAACTCACACCTGGTTTCCCTAACCCAGCGGTTGCGGATGCCTACCTCAGACCTGTGGTGGATGACTCAAAGGGCTCCTTTCTGTGGGGGAAACCGGATCTTGACAAAATTAGAGAGTATCCTTGAATCTCTGCAAACTTAAGGGACATTGAGCCCTAGTGAGGCTTGTTAAACTTTTGAACAGGAACTGGGATCATTTTTCCCTGATATCACATTCACTTGAAACCCTCCTTTTAGTTCCTTTTTCCCTCTCAGTATTAAAGAGGATCTTCTTTCAGATAAGCCACGATAGCATTCTTGGACATGAACACATACTTAAGTACTATTTATTTTGAAAAAGTAGGAAAGATGATGATGATTTTGTGTGTGTGTGTGGTGCTGGGCTTGAACCTGGGGCCTCACGAGTGCTGGGCAAGTGCTCTTTCTGCCACGGAGCTGCATCCCAGCCCCAAATAATTTTGTCCTTTTTATTGCTGGTTTTCTATTTTGTATACTTAAATTTAAGTATTTCAGTTGATGTTTAAAATGTTACAGTAGAATTAATCTAGCTACAGTTTATTTTTTTTCTTTCATAGACAAGATATCTGAAACATTTTATTCTAAGTCAGACTTTTCATAGTCAAAAGGCTGATGTCCTAAAATGAGGGTGGAGTTTCTTCTGCTTTACAGAATTGAAAAGAACATACTGCAAGATGATCATGTTGGAATAATTTGTTACCTTTTTATCATTAATATTTTAAATATGAAAATCTTTTGGAAGGGAATAAAGGGTCAGTTCTTTGGATCTTTTATTTATCACTTGTTAAGTACCTCTGAAAGCATTTATAATCTTAACTGCCTGCATATTTTGTCAGCGGTATTTTGGATGGAACAGGACTAAAACGGACGAATCTCTATTTCCGGTATTAAAGCAACTGGATGTCCAGCAGGTAATCAGGTGGCTCTTTCCCTGATTTCACACTGAAGGGTGAACTTAGTAGGGCTTTGATTGGCAACTGTTTAAGAACAGCTAGTTAACTCTTTGGGTATGCATCATACATTTATGTTGCGTACCCAAAGAGTTAACTAGCTGTTCTTCAACAGTTGCCAATCATTTTAGGTAAAGAACAGAGGAAAATAGAAAAAGAATAATCAGACTTAGTCTTTACTTCAAAATCTCTCTCTTAGTGATGGACTGTGATGGCCTTTCATGTTCATTCTGATTTTGAAAAAAAAACAATAATCAATTTCACACTAAGCATTTCTGATTAAAAATATTACCCTCTTGGTGTTATTGTCATTTTTTAAAAGCTTAGGAAATGTCCAATCCAGAACAGTTCTGGTCATTAGGATTTCTCAATTATAAGCACTTCTTGATTTATGATTTTTATATAGATCTTTATAGTAGAAGCTCAGTCATATAGCATATCAGTAAGAGAGGATCTGGAGGAGGAGAGGCCTTGAAGCACCCTTTCCTCTGGGCAGGTGAGTGGGTCTTGCTCTGTCCATGTGTTCTTGCTCACTTAAAGCAAGTCTTTGCCCACCACTGAAGCAATCCACAAAGCACACTCTCAAATCCACTGTTTAGCAGAAATGAAAAAAATATCTTTTAAGATAATTGAGTGAATTTCCATTAAGTTTGGTCAATTTTGGAAAAAAAAAAATAAGCAAAACTGATGTAAAGAGCATTTCCAGGGGATCCCTCTTGTTTGTTGGAAGACCTTTCTCTGCTGAGAGTGATGCTGTTTCTCACTGACTGGTTGCTCCTCGCTGGAGACACATTTTGTTGTAGAACTTTCTCCTTTCACACTATTGAACTTAATATTTAAGTTTATTTTTCTAAACTTGTAAAGTGTAAATAATGTTGTGATGGACATTAAGCCTAAAACTTTCCTCACATGTAAGTATTTTTAAAGAGTATCTTCCCAGGGCGTGAATACTTTTTACAGCTCTTAGTATGTCCTGTGAGCTTGCCTCCTGGAGGTACTATATGATTATATAATGTTTTAAGGAGAAGGAGACGTAGGACTTAGAAACAAGCCCAATGAAACTTTATTGCTGGAGAAGATGATGGTTTTTGAGTATCTCAGAAGAGATTTGTTGCTGGAGATGTGGACAGAGGACTTAGTCGACAGAGTGAGTGCAGATATTGCTTCCAGTGTCATTTAGACATCACTGAGATCCACTGTCATTAATTGGAAGATGTAAATTAGCCTTCTCTGAAGTGGGAATCCAACGTGAGCAGTCAAGGCGGAGCTTGTTGATAGGGTGTGGAGATGTGTCTGATTGGCATGTGATTCTATTCTAGACCCAGCTCCGGATCGACTCTTTCTTCAGGCTGGCTCAGCAGGAGAAGCAGGATGCCAAACGCATGAAGAGCCAGCGGCTGCACCGGGCCGTCACGTGCATGCTGAGGAAGGAAAGGGAAGCGGCGGCCAGCCCGGTGGAGGGCGAGGGCGAGGTGCGGGGCCAGGCCCAGGGCGGCGCCCCGAAGAGGAGCCTCCCCGAGGAACCGCCGGAGGCCTCGAGCCTCAAGAGGAGGCTGTCGGAGTCTGGAGGCCCCGCGGGATGCGGGGGGTTTCTGGGGGTGAGCGGCCTCTCGGAGTCCGGCGCCTCGTCGGGTGAGGACGCCGGGGGTTCTCCGCCGAGCAGCGTGCGCCGGAGAGGAGCTGGGGGAGAGCGGCCAAGGGACCCCCGCGCCCCGGTGCCGGAGGCCGCGGTGAGCTCCAGCAGCTCCAGCGAGGACGAGGGGCACCGCGGCCGCAGCGCCAGGGCCGCCCTGGTGACGGCCAGGCCCGTGTTTGGGAGGAGAAAAGGGAAGCCGAGACGTGGCAGGGCAAGAGCCAGGAAAACCTGATTCAGAGTCCGCCTTCTCTGGCTGCGAGGGACACGATGAAATTAAAAGTGTCGGCACAGTCTTGTCTCCAGTGTGTGGTTTGTAAAGATTGTCCGGGTCCCGTTTGTCCCCTGCCCTCTGACTTTCTCTCTTCCTGATTCCGTGTCTTACACTGTCTGGTGCTCTCTGACCTCAGAAGGAAAAAGAGAACCAAGGGTCCACACGACCAGCGCCCCTCTCAGAACGCCCCCTCTGGCTCATACCCAGGTGAGAAGAAAGACACCTGTACAGTCTAGGAATAAACAGTGGCAGCTCCAGGAAGGAAATCGATTCCTGCTCCCACTGCTTGCTGTTCTCCCTCAAGCTCTTCTTAAAATGATGGCAGGAGGGACCCTCCCTGCTGGAGCATATTTGAAGAACATGATTGCTGTGGTTTTAGCAATTAATTACCAAACCTGACTGAGGCCTTCGTTCTTCCTGTGAGCATTAATGATGGGAACCTCTGCACCGAAATGTTTGCTTTCACACTACTTCAGTTGTCAGAAGCTGACTTCTCTGTAAATAAATTGGGTGGCTCAGGGGTTCATCAAGCCAGTGTAGGTGGGTCCACTTTAGGTGTTGACTACTGTTGGCACAGCTCTTTGTCCAGCGGTCAGCCTAGGTTACTTTAGGATTACTAGGCGGAGATCTCCAGCAAGAGCTACTCGTGGATTCCTGATTGCTTAGTACTAACAATGTACGGATAGTACTGCCTGCTACTTTGAGTCTAGGGTACCTTCAGATGTGCCTTCCCAAGTTCATAATCCTTCTGGTATCTTTCATATTTCCATCTTAATCCTTGTTTCCACCATTTGGCCTTCAAATTGAAAATCTTCACCAAAGAAAATAAGATACAAACAGATACTTTTCAATGAGTCCTCAGGATTTTAGGGTGTCCTTTGTTTACTGTTCAACCAAACTTCTCCATACTTGGACTTCAGCTGTTACTTTTCTATGCTCATTGTTTCTTCTTAATTTCAAATATGGCTTCTGCTTCTCTCAGTCTTCTCTAGCAGCTTCCTTCTCACATTGACAATGACGTCTACACAATAAACTCAAGTCATTTCTTAATGCCTCTTTGCTCTAGAGGTATTTGAAGCAGAACACTTCAGTGAGGACAGGAATATGTTTTCATATCATTTTCAAAGGTACTGGTAATTGGGAGTTTTTGCATATACATGTGGGTAGAACAGTGCTAAATATTTTAATTTTGTTGGCTTTAATAGATAATTCAAGTTTATTTTCCATTGTGTTAGCTGATATAAAGTCTGTCACTGTAACAGAGACCTTCCTATACATGGTCTAGGTGAGCTGGAGCTTCCTTCTCTTACTCTACTGTCCACATGTCAATAAAGGAAGTTGTTGTCTTTTGAGTTATTCAGAGCCCAGGTTACCATCCTCTGGGGTGTCTTGCTTGAATAGACTGTGACCACTGCATCAATTTTTCACCCTCCTGGAAGGGGAAAGAACCAAATCCAGGACAAGCAGAATGTCTTACATTAAGGTTGAATGGAAAAATCACTTTTCTTCCATTTCATTGACCTGAACTGAGCATTTGGCCATACTTAGACATGCTCAGAAATGTGATTTATACCTGGTCTGTGCCTAGGAAGAAGAAGAAAATGGATATTCAGGACCATGAGAAACATGCTGAAAATTATATTTATAGAACCCTTTGATAGTATATCCTCTTTTTCAGTTTAACCGTGTGACCAAAGGATATTCTTTTACAAAGGAATAGACAGTTTAGAGACATTAACTGACTATAAAAGCCACCCATCTAGTCAGTAAGATTTTTTTACCTGGGGCTGGGGATGTGGCTCAAGCGGTAGCGCGCTCGCTTGGCATGCATGTGGCCCGGGTTCGATCCTCAGCACCACATACAACCAAAGATGTTGTGTCTGCCAAAAACTAAAAAATAAATATTAAAAAAATTCTCTCTCTTTAAAAAAAAAAAAAAAAAAAAAAAAGATTTTACCTGAACTCAAATCTAACTCAAAATTCCAGGGTTTTGTTTTACTTATAAAAATAGGTTGCCTGTTGAAAATAATCAGCAGCAAAGCCAATTTATCATTATTCAGAGCAAGTTGATTACGTATTACATCTAAATGATACCATCTTTTCTATAAAATTATCTTCTAGGTTATTAATGTTTTCTTCAGCTTTATCTACATTTGCTGTCAAACCCATACATTGAATTTTTTTCATGTATTGTTATTTTTCCTTTCTTTCTAGTAGACTCTTTTTAAATATATTCTAATTCTTTGGTATAGTTTCCCTTGTATGTTTTTTGATCATCATAAACAGTTGCTTTGAAGCCTATATCAAATAATTCCATTATCTGGGTCACCTGTGAGTTTATTTCTATTGTCTGTTGATGTGCTTGGTGAATTTTGACTGAAAAAATTTCTGAATGAGAAACTGTGGCTGTTCTGACCCCCCTCCCCTGCAACCAGGGATCCCAGAGGTATTCTGCCAGGCAGCAGGGCTGATCACGTCATGTCAGGACAAAGTGGACTCGAGTCTGGTTTTCAGTCTTTACTGCTCAGTCCTTATTCCTAAAAGGTTCTCCAGGAGTACCAGCTGAAAGCCTGGTGATTCTCTTCTGAACTTTGTTCTGCTTTTTGCCTTGTCATGCTTGGAAAATTGGCCTCATGCCCTAAACAGCACAATTACTCATTGCTGTGAGTGCAAGGTCAGTGAGGAATGTCAGGCTGCTTCCCTGTCTCTTCTTTGGGATCCAGGCCCTCAGTGCCTGGATGCCTTGCCAGCTGTTCTTTTGTCTGCCCACTTCTGTGAGGTTGCCTGAAGCTGAGTTGGGTCCATTGTTTCCTCTTGGGCTACTCAGCCTCTTTCTCTTCACCGGTGATCAGTGCCTGGAGTTCTTGTTGCCGGGACAGCTGGATGCTGTCTAACTGGAGCACGTGAGCATGTGTGTGTTTGTATTTGAAAACCTGCTTTTCTGGTTCCTAAGGAAGGAGAGGTCTGCTCTAGGTACATACAGCCAGAGGCAGAAATCTCTGTGTCTCTGCTTTTTAAACAGTTCTGTATAATTGAAATGATTATGTCTAACAGTTGGCTAAGATGATTGATTTAGGGATTCTGCTTCTGAAGAAATCTAGCACCAAGGATTGCATCATCTTTCAAACAGCTCTTTGAAAAAAGTCATAATTTTATACTTTAAATAATTCTTTATTCTTGCTTTAAAAATAGTCAAAAAGAGTGTCCTTTACCCAAAATTAACTGCCTATGAATACTAGTTTGTATTGGTTAGGATTTTAGACTTTCTAGAATGTTTTTACCTATAATATTCACCAACAAATATGTATATTATATGCCTTTTATATCCCTATTTAGTAGATGAGAAAGCCAGGGAACATGCTAAGTATATGGTCAAAATCACCAGCTAATTATTGTTAGGAATAACTAAATGGAGCCTCCTGAAGTGCAGGCCTGCCTGGTACATCAGAGTGACCTTGGTTAGCTCTGTGTAAGTCATGGAATGTCAAGTGTTTCTTGCATTCCTAAGTTTAACTTTGCAATATTGCTTGGCTTTGTTGCTTCAAGTAACTTGTTTCAAGGGGATCTTTTCAGAGACAGGGGAATGTTTATGCATGCCTATAGGTACATAGTGCACCTGTGTAAGTACAGAGATGAACACACCCTTAGCTTGCCATTCCACCCAAATAGGAAGGAGTTGGGGTGCTTTGATTCCTGGGCACAGAGCAGTGCTGTGTAAATTCTGATGCAGTTGGATTCTGAAAACACTGCTCACACCCAGACAGACTGGTGATATGAAAATTATGCGGCCTCCATTTCACAGGACATGATAGCCGTGGAGTATTAGAATAAGCCTTGACATTGACGTGGGAGAACTGGATTGCTGCCTCCGTGCAATCTTTGCTTACTCATGGGAGTGGTTTGCATCTAGCTATTGGTTTTAGCTCTTTCATGGACCGCAGTCATTCTGCTATTCAGCCCCTTCAGAAGGGTATCCAGCCTCACTGCTGTGTAACCAGAGGCGAGGAAGCTGCAGCTGTCGGGATCCTAATCCTTCTGCACTGCCCCACTGCCAGTGTGTACAGTAGTAAACTCTGCTTTGGTGCAAGCCTTTCAGGCTCTACCAGAGGACTCGGCAGCAAAACAGAAGTTGTGGATGATACTTTTTAACCTTCTGTAAACTTGGCTAAGTCATTTAGGTGTGTCTAGGCTTAACATTTAATAAATACTGGCTTTCATGTGGACAGGTGTAATGAAGACTGCTTTCTTTAATGGAAGAGATTAAATTGGGAACAAAACATATGTCTTGCTATTATTTGAGCTGTGACCTTGTTTGTAAACTCTAGGGAAAATAATTTGGCTTCTAATTTACTGAGGCATGCTGTGAAGAAATGTGACTTATAAGTAGTTTGGGATCCTTGGAAGAAAGTGTTTTACTAATTTATGGTAGTACAGTGATAGCTTCTATGATACCAATCAAACTTTAGTGAGGTTTGAGTAATGGCTCATTTGAGCTAATTCTGATTATCTGCTCCACTTGAGAGGCATGAAATACTTTGATTTATTCAATCTTATATGTCTTCTGGGATGGTGTGCATAGATGGTAGAAGCTTCCAGGACGATCATCTGGCCCTGGTGCTGTTTGACACTGAGGAAGTGCTAATGACGCACAGATGGGAACAAATGAACTCTGCACTGGTTGCTAGGATGCTTTATTTTAGATTAATAGTATGGTTTTCAATGCACCAAGCAAAACCCATTTCTTCCCGATGTTTTAGTCATCTCTTAAATTTTGGCCTTGCTGTCTTACCAGGCAGTATGATGTGCCTCTCTGAGGCAGCTGTTTGTCTCTGGTGAGGAACACGTTCTTTCTCTAGTAGCTTATAGAAGTCCTGACTCTGAAGCCTTTTTGTTCCAGTTTTGATTTGTACTAGGTAGTGTTGAGTTGGTCTTGATTAAATCATGCTTTTTTATTATGTGGTGCTTTAATATTCCCTCAACTATATTTGAAGTTAAACTTAAGTAGGTAAGCATGAGTATGCTCGGTACATATTTTTACTTCATTAATACCATTTGACATTTTATTACTTGCCTAGTTTTCAAGAAATGATCAAGAAAACATCAATATATAGCCATCCATTGATTGATCACTTGATGGAGCCAGAAGTTCAAGAAGGTAAATAATTTTGTTTCTTTCACCATTTGATCAATTCTAAGAAGGCAAATAATTAGTAGAATATAAAATATTCCTTTTGCAGTGTTCATCCATGTCTTGAAGGGAGCTAGGCCATTGATTTACTGCATGTTATGTCTCAGCTTGTGTTTGCTAACCTGAGATATCTCCAGTAATTTTTTATGCCTACTGTTATAATACCTAGGATCCTGGGGATATGTTTGAGATAATTTTGGCAGACAATAAATAAAATATATAGAGTTACTAAGTAGTTAGAACTTACTTACTATATATTTAGAGTTTTTATCTGTAAAGATGGAAAATTTTATTTTTACCCAATACCATACATGAAATGCATGTTTGTGATTTGTAAGTTATTTTAGATAAGAAGCTTTCAAGAGAGATCTAAATAGTTTTATGGAAAAAACTGAAGATTTTACTAATGCTTGGATGAATGATGAATCTAGGCTATAAAAACATCTGTAACACGTGTTTATGGACCATCCCTCTGACTATTAATTAGAGGCAAATACATCATGTAATTTGACCTCTAGATGTAAAAAGAATTTGAGTTCTACAACCAGTGTAGTTATTTGAAATTAGCCCACCATTACTACATGGTCTTAAATATGAAGTATGTGTTAATGTAATTTGACCTCTGGATGTAGAATTTAAGTTTGAGTTCTGCCATCAGTGTAATTATTTAAATTGTCCTGCAAGTTTCACATAGTCTTACGTATGAAGTGTGAACCTGTGTGGTTTTCACAATATAAGTACTCCATTATCTCTAGATTAAAAGTGTAGACTTGTAGATATTCTTGACAGAGACTAGAACAATTACTTTTTGTTGAGCAATTCAAAACAAATAAAATCATCTTGCTTCTTTCTTTCTCTCCCTCCTGGTCTATCATGGTGTGGCGCTTTCTAAGAATTGTCATCCTGCTTTTCCCTTTTTTGGCCACACCAGGTGGCTTCTACTTAGGTGAGCGTGTCTTCAGGCTGAGTGAGTTGGGTGCGTGCCCAGGGTTGGCAGCCTACCTGGCTTAAACACCAGGTTTTCCTGTAGCGATTCTTGCAAACCTAAACATTTAAGTTGTAATCACTTAGAGAATCCAGCCATTTAGATAATTTGAGTAAAGATACAATTTCTGTGTGGTTTATGAATAAAATTACATCATTATCATTACCATTAGTAACAATTCTTGGTTTCAACTGTGCTTATGATAATTTGGCAAATTACAAAGGAAGTGGAAGAAGTTCAAGGTAAGGTTGAGACAGAAGTAGTATTAAAATATTTTACAACATGAACAAACACACCCCATAATCATCTGTATAGCCAATTAAAGCTTTAAAAATATGTTCAAAAGCACAGAGCTCGGGGATTAAGGGTGTGCTGTTAGAGCAGAGCCAGGCGTTGTGTTGCTGGCAAAGGCTCTAACCAGAAGGGGAACACGGCGTTCTCGGGCACCAGGGGCTATTGATATGTCCTACTCCAGCTCTTTTATACTTAGTATCTCTTACTTGGAAAGGGTGGAGCGAACTCCTAGCTTGTATTTCAACACCAGCACGAAGATTCAAGAACTATAAAATGTCACTCATTTATACACAGATTAAAACGCGCGTGCTGGCAATTCCTTTCTACATGTTTCTGATGCGGAATTATAATCTGTCTAAAACCTCATCCACATTAACAATGCCACGTGTCCCACGCTTGCTGCAGCCTCCTCTAGCTTTAGCACATGTAGCATAGTTTTCTAAAAACGGCTTCCTGAGAGTCTGCAGCCATGGAGGAGACTGTCCTTCCCCAGACTTAGGGGTTCTGGTGCATAGCAACTCAGATCACTCCAGTTGCTTATTAGACTGCCTTGAGTCAGTTTGGGTCTTTTCAGAAGTAATGCCCAAATGGGATTAAATATGCAAAGACTTTATTTGGGGAAATGTTTGTGGGAGATAAAGAAGCAAGGAGCAGAAGTAGGCAGAATTCTCAGATCTCGGCTTAGGTCCTACACCTAAGAAGGGGAGGAAGAGCTTCCAACAGTTCTGAGTCATCTCAGGTGGGCAAGGGATGTCCCTGAGCTGAAGGTGACCACTGAAGGGGCGTCCAACATGGGATGAGCTGGCTTTGGTAGGCAGCCGCAGGGGGAGGAAGCTCTCAAGGAGCCAAAGACACAGGGGGCGGCACTGTTGGCAACTGAGCTCCTGATAGCAGGTTCCCTTCATCTGAGTGGCTGCCCTCGATGGCCAGCACATCTTATCACAGATGACTATGCCTTAACTGTGGGTTTCCTGTGCAGATTTTCCCCTCAGTGTATTTCCTGCCTCAGTGTGTGGCAGAATCACTTTCCTGGCTACCCAGGAGCCTTCTCCCTCTCCTTCATGCCCTTCCCCATTACAGCCCTCCTCCATGAGTGCTCCTACTCTTCCTCCTCCATTCCCAGCATCAATTGCTTTGATTCTGATCTTTATCATTTCTTCTCTCCAGTGTTGTTAACTGCCTTTAATTGGCTATCTCACTCCGGACTAACTTTCTTCACCCTCTCTAGTTCCTTTTTCACACTGTGGCTTGCATGATCTTTTTAAAATTCAAACCTTGCCACATTAGGCTTCTGCTTAAAATTATTCAGTGTCTCATTATTTCCTGTAGGATAGAATCAAAACTTCTAAGCATGGTGTAAGTGTCTTATCTTGTGCTACTGACCCCTCCACTTACCTCATATATTCTCAGAGTTCCTCGAATTGTAAAACTGATCAAGAGACCTTTCGCCAGTGGGCTGACACATATTGTTCCCTATGTGAGACACGTCTCCTCTTAAGACATGTCTTACTTGCCTGGCAAACCCATAATCATGAAGGTTCAGGTAATTCTTTGCTGAGCTCCTGAGAAGTGGAACTTTGAATTTTTGAATTATCTGGTTGAGCCTCTGTTACAGCGCTTACATGTTGGTCTGTCTTCATGGTCATGGTGCCCAGGTGCTCAATAAATGAGTGAATAAATGAATTAACTATAACCAAGGCTGTTGGTTGGACTTAGGCTTGCTCGTTAGAGATGGTCTTATATTTCTGGTCAACAGCCAGTTGACTCCCTTCAGGCCTAGTATGACATCCTACTCAGGGTATCCCATGAAACTCTCTCCCGAGGACTTTCATAAATCTTTACGGAGTTGGATTAATGAGTAATATGCTTTTATGAATAATATTAGCCTTACTGCACAAATAAAAAAGTTTACCTGAGTAATTCTATCTCTGTTTATGAAACCTACCAAACTAGTGTGAGGTAAAATATGTGATATTATAGTTGGGGTACCATAGCATTATTAAAGTGAGCATCACTCATTAACACATTTTAAATATTTAAAAAGTAACCCGAATAAGTATCAGCTAAAAAACAACCAATTTTTCACATGTTTAACAAAAATAACTCAAGTTTACTGCCTCAGTCTGCCTCAGATGTCTTCAAAACTCTGGCTTGAATGTCAGGTTTGGGTGCCAGTTGTTGTTCCCAAGAGGAGGCATGTGCTGCTTAAAGGACAGCGGTGGGACTCGGCCCTTGACTCTGTCTGCTGCCTTCATCAGACTCCCGTCAACTGGGCCTTTGCAACGGGCTTGTCATTAGCTTCTGACCTCACCAGTCCCACAGCCACTGCTGCCAGAGATTGTTTCAGTCAGCTTCTTCACCGATGTGATGAAAGTACCTGACAAGAATCACTTTAGAGGAGGAAAACTTTATTTGGGGCTTATCATTTCGGAGGTCTCAGTCCTTAGATGGCCAACTCCATTTATCTTGGCCTGAGGTAACACATGTCAGAGGAGCATGAAGGTGAAAAGCACCAGGAAGCAGAGAGAGATTAAACTCAGCTCACAAAATATCAACCCCAAAGGCAGCCCCCACCCCATGGCCCATGGCCACCTCCTCCAGCCGTACCATGCCTGTCTACAGTTACCACCCTGTTAATCCCTATCAGGAGATGAATGCACTGAATAGGTTATAATTTCACCTCTAAATCTTCTTGCATTTTCTCACACATGAACTTTTGGGGTACACCTCACATCTAAGGCATAACAGAGGTAGTTCTTGAGCAGCACATCTGATCACATCAGTTCCTGGCTCCTCCTTCCCTTATAGAACAAGGATCAACACTGCAACAAGTCTGGTCTCAGCTTCTTCAGGCTCATTTCTCACAATGATCCCAGGTGCACCTTGATCTTTTCATAGCTCCCTGAGCACAAATGTCTCCTCCTCAAGGTTGCTTCTCCTGATCCCACCAACTTGGGTACTTCTATAGCCTTTAGAGAAGGGCTTTCCAAGACTTCCCAAACTCCACTGACAGTGAAATTGAATCTTTCCCTTTCATGATTCAAGGAGTGAACTTTGAGTACAACGAACTGAGGTTCTTCTTTGTTTTCTACTTGCATCCTGAGCAGTCTCAATAAAAGAGGAATTTTCTTCTTCTGTGAAGACATAATATGTCTACTCAACTAGACTCTAAATTCTTGAAACTCAGTGCACCAGCAGATAGAATATATCTGTGGACTCTTCTCAGGAACCCATTTCAATATAAGGGCTCAAGATATCGACATCACTGAGACATTCACAATTGTACATTTCAGATTAGCCTGTGCCCATTTATTTATCTGAAAATATCTTTAACATCTTAAAAAAATCCGTAGGCATTTCTAAAAAGCACATGACATTCCTCTTTGAAGAGAAGATTCGGTTGAATGACAGTTGCTTTCATTTAGGAGAGTAGCTTGACTTGATATTTTGCTGACACTTTCTCATGACAGCCTGCAAATGGAAGCTCGAATTCACTTGTCATTGCTATTAAAAAGTTGCTGTTTTTCTCCTTTTTTATTTAGTGTATTTCTGTGCTCTGACCCTTCATTTATTATTGTTCTTACTGACCTTAAAGATATAAAAGAGAGGACTGTAGACAGAGTTGCTATTTTGGAAGGCTTGCTATAATCCAGCACCAAAATCAATTCACCACTGAATTTTTCTCAGGAGAATAGTCTTCATAGTGTGGAAGAATATTGCTAATTTTCACTTCATACTTGAAATCCCTTTAGTTCTCAGGAGAACAAGAGCCACCTGGTAAATTTTAAATCAGCAAAGATTTAATAGCAGGAAAATGGTATTAGAATTTTTTTTGTATGAAAAAGCATTAAAATAGATAAGCCCAAGATAGCAACATAATTATAATACTGTGTCTTGATTATGTTTTATTTAAGATCTTTTGATGGTTATGTTTCAATATTAAATTCATCAAGAAAATAATACTCTAAGATAGGTAGATAGCTTTCATCTAAAGGTGAAGACATGAGGAATTTGGGGGCTTTCACCCAGGAAAGTCAAGATCTACTCTTTTGTGTAAGGTTACCCAGTTTTAGTTTTTTGTCCCAGTGCTAGAAAATAAGGAGAGAATATATGTGGGAAAATTGTCCAAAAATGCTTCTAGAATTCCAATATATGACAATGTTATTAACTTTTTGAGGAAATTGCTCTTCTGATATTAATTAAGAACCAAACACTATCTGCTAATTCACAAATCTTTTAAACACTAAATCCCGTATTCAGTAAACAATGCAGCTTGAGGAATGTGTGCTTTGTAAATTACCTTTGGGGTATAGATCCCTCCCTTCTGTCGCAAGGAGGCTGCTCCAGGATGCCTGTGTAGGATACTGCTCTTCCCATTAGATTCTAGGTGAGAGATTCTTGTTATCAACCTGGAAGTAGATGGTGTCATTACTAGAACTTAATATTACATGTGTCTTCATTTACATAAAAAATTACTACTATATTACAACTATTACCTCAAGACCTTTAGGTAGAAGTTCACGCAGGGTAAGAACAGCCTGTGTTTTAAGATGGAAATAATCATAGAGAGATGTATGTTTCCTTTTAAAATCTCACATATTACATCTAGACATTATTGTGATTTTTTATTGTCATAAAGAAATTTTGTTTTAAGCTTCATCAGTCATTTAAAAAGAAACTTGATTATTTTATCAGTGTGGCTCTTAGAAAGATCTTGTTCCTCTTTTAACAAATTGTTTTAAGCAGCCATATTCAGCATATTTTGGCTTTGTGATGTAAATTAAGCTAATTTTATGAGGGTTACTTCTTATGTAATGCCTATAGTAGTCATATAACATTTAAATGCAAAACAGAATATTAATATAAAACATTATCAATTAAATTTTATTCAAACTGATAATGATTTCTATATGATACAAGATCATCATAGTTTTATTACTAGTTTTGAATTGCCATATGTGTTAGACAAAGTTGTTCTTTTTTTAGTGTATATGCAATTAATAGTGGCTGTAGTTGTTTCACGAAATATTTTTCAAGGTCCTTTGTCTTGGGAGTGTAATTGTCAATTATAACAATATACTCATGTATATTTTAAAAATTTCATTTCCACATGAGGACAAAGATGTAGTCATTATCAAAAAGAAAGGACTAGCTCAGTATATTCAGAAAGACAGTCAAAAGCCAGGAATTCATTTGTTATCACCGACTTGTTAGACAGCAGCACTAATCTGGCCAACTAACCTTTAAAAGAACGTGCAAAGTCAGAGGTGTCAAATTGTACCAGTAAATATTCACTGACAAAGTTTCTGTATCAAAGGCTGGAACTTTAGGAGATGCTCCTGGGATTTGGTGTACTCTAACATCTATTAATCCCTGGTACCTTAGGTGACTTGTCAAAGGAGTGCTGCATTTACAAGGAGCAGGCAAGGAGGCCCAGGAGGACACTCTGAGCTAAAGGTCAAGGAAGCAATTAATGTTCTCTGCTTTTCCCTAAAGAGCCACCACAGCAAACCTCCTCCCCCACTCCTTCATTCTTAGCAAGCCAAGTGCATGTAGTGGAATGAAAGTTAAAGTTCAAATAAAACATATTACCAGTATTATTTGGTTCTTGGAGCTCTTCTGAATGCGAATTCATGCAGTTATTTAAGGAGAAGTACAGTGGAATATATTAGAAGGGGTGGCTCTTGCTGAAGAATACCAATTTTTCATCTTGCTATTTTTGTTGCATCTCTACTGAGGGTCAGTGTGATAGTGGGAGAATCGGGTGATGGACAAGCCCCTTCCTATGGGCTGTAGCTAAGCGGGAGTTCTTTTGGGAAACACATGGTTCTGACACGTGCATACCCACCCCCAATTCTTCTATTTATTAGTTTTTTAAAGTTGTAGCAACTCTTGTGTTCCCTCAGGTCTTTACTATTTTTGAGGAGCAGATCTGTCTCTTCAAATTGTCCTCCTATGGCTGAGTTTCAAGATGTCTCACCTCCCGGTTCCTCCAGTTTCTTGGCATTCCAGTATAGTGAGACTTCTGCAGCATATGGGACTAACAGTATGATCTGACCAGCATGAAATAGAACAGAGCCTTTACTGCCCTCATTTTAGAAATTATATTCTTAACATGACCTTAGTGTTCAAATTTTTATTGATACTGGTTTTATACTTTTGACTCATATTGAGCTTAGGCCCAGTTAATCCTACATCTCTATTATATCTGCCTCCACCCCAAACAGTACTGCTAAACTCTACCAGAATATGGGCTTTATGTTCACCTTTATTATAACTCACATTATTAAATCCAATCTCTGATGCCCTGAGATAGCACATGCATTGTTGAGGTGTAGAGGAATTAAGTCTGTCTTTCCAGTGTTTCTGAGGGGAGTGACCACATCTTCTGGCCAGCTACCGTATTTCCACCACTCAGACTGCGGCAGGTGTACACCAGGCCTTCAGCACAGAGTTCCAGAGTGAGTGAATGGGCTAACCCAGGAACAAAGATTACTCTGGCCAAAGTGGTTACAATGAGACTTTGCTGCCTCATCTCTTCCTACTTAGGAATTCAAAACTGTTTTTTGGTTGGATTTGTCTTTTCATGCTGTTTCCTCCTTATATTCACAGTTGGTCTTTATTTTCCATCTTCTCTTCCAGAGAAAACTAAGCCTGACTTCATGAGTGCTGGGGAAGGGGAGGTGGATGGCAAGAGTTGAGAGAGCAGAAAATACTAGAAGGAGCAGTGGATTTTAAGGGCCGGTGTGAGAGAGAAACAGCTTCTCTATCAATGGAAGTCATGTTAGAACCATGTTGACCAAAGACAAACTTCTTTCATAAAACCACTCCAAGCACCTCAGCCACAGCACTACTGAACTGCTGAGTTTTCAAGTCTGTGCCACACCATCCAGGGTTTGATTAACTGGTGATCTTGTTCTGTCTGAATTTCATGATCAAAATAGTAACAGTTACAAAAATAATGATCATACTTTATGTCTCTTCTGTGAGAGGACCTGTTCTCTCCCTTGAGGGTGCTCCCTCTTCTTTCTCTTCTAATACACTTTGCTATACTTTCAAAATAATAATAATGATATTGGTAGTAGTAATTTTTAGACACCATGTAGCAGGCAATATGCAAAGCACTTTATACATATTGCTTCCCATCGTCATTTGATATAGATTTCTCTTTCACATTTTACTTAAGTTTGTAAACTCTTAGAGACAAATAGATTAAAAAAAACACACATTATATCACAGCTTTTTAAAACTGTAGAAAGGAGGCTCTGGAGCAACCACAAACGGAGCTCAAATTTTGGCTCTTTAATTTATACCCTGTGTGGGCCTGGTCAAGTTAACATGATTCTCTGAGTCTTAGCTTTGTTATCAGTGAAAGTGAAACTAATAGTGTGTACCGTACAGTTGTTGCAAAGATTAAGGGCAGCCAGGCGTGGTGGTGCACACTTGTAATCCCAGAGGCTCAGGAGGCTGAGGCAGGAGGATCATAAGTTCAAAGCCAACCTCAGCAACTTAGTGAGTCCCTAAGAATCTTAGTGAGACCCTGCCTCAAAATAAACAATAAAACAGGCTGGGGATGTGGCTCAGTGGTTAAGTGCTCCTGGGTTCAATCCCCAGAACAACAACAACAAAATTAAGTGCAATATTATTATAACATATAGCAGGTTCTAGCATGTTAAGTTATATACTCAATAATTAGTAGTTAAATGTTACTTATTAACCATAAGTAAGATTGTAGATGCCAGCATTCCATGAGTGCCCCAAAATGATAATATAAAAATAAAAAAATAGGGCTGGGGATGTGGCTCAATCAGTAGCGCACTCGCCTGGCATGTGCAGAGCGTTGGGTTCGATCCTCAGTACCACATAAAAATAAAGATGTTGTGTCCACTGAAAACTAAAAAATAAATATATAAAAAATAATATTAGGGCATATTGTTGGGTGGTATTGCAACATATCTTTTATCTGGTTAAAAGCAAGTTAAATAGGACAGCCTATTATATATCACTAAAACACCTGTAATCATTCTGCGTAGACTCTACAAAAAGGTAGGATCTTATATCCCATCAAAGTCTTCTCTTGTTCAGGAAGAACTGATTGGTGGTCCTTGGAAACTTCCTTCCTTTCTTCCTTCCTCCTCCCTCCCTCCTTCCCTTTCTTCTTTCCTTCCATCCTTCCTTCTTTCCTTCCTCTTGCACATTTTAGGCAAGCATACTACCTCTAAGTTGTACTCCTTGCCCAACATATTGCTTAAGTAGTATGTCAGTCACTCTGTGTTGCATTTAGCGTTGCAGAAATGGATAGTGTGACGTCTAGAAAACAGAAAAACACGGACACCCTGATGTGTGAATGTTAACTTACATTATGAAGTATTTGACAGTAGACCTTACTTTTTAGTTTCATCTAAGGTCAGTGAATATTTGAAAGTATCTGAGGCTAGGAAATGCTGCATTTCCATTAGCTGCTTCTCTTCTGTCTTGGGTTTCTAAGATACCTACTACCTCTTTGATTTCCTTGCAGAGGCCAGAGAAGACCATGACGACAAGCAGGTGGTCTCAGAGATCATGGCGAGATGTTTTATCCCAACTCTGGTAACAAGCATTTCCTGGGAAGCCTTTCGTTTTGTTGGTCATGAGATTCGGATTACTGAAGCGATGGACTGTTACGGTGCTGTTGTTTGGCCCTCGGTATAATTTCACACAAAATTTGCTACATTCAATTGTTTTCCAGTCAGTTTGGTTCACTGATGTGTTTTACATGGAAGAAGGAAACAGGTTGTATAATGCTACTATGTGACCTCACACAGCACTAAAACTTAGAACTATCATGCAATTGGGAAGTCATTTCCACTAATTAATTCTATTTCTAACTTTATCAAAATTTGTGAGACACATAAAAACATTGTTTACTCCTTCAGTTTTTTATGACTGTAGAGTTTAGAAGAGTTAATGTTTTTATTTCCCATTTTACTGGCTCCATTTGGGTTAAACAATTATAGTGACATCTGTATGAGTCTAACATGCAGAATATTCTCAAAGGGCACCCACTCCTTCAACGACTGAGCATGAAGGACACAGACCCTCCACTGCAGCCTGCCCTGCCCACATTCTAAAAATAACTGGTATTATTACTAGTTACTTCCTTGAAACGTGACCCAACTTAAGCAACTAAACTCTGTACTTTTAGTTATTTCTCTTTCCTCCCAATAATCCCCAAAGACTATTTTTAGACAAAATGTTAAACATATTGGGGATGTAATTCTGTGATGATTTCCTGGAATGAGGCCTATGAACAGCCACAGATGCTCTCCTACTCACATGGGGATACTCACCTGTAACATCAGTGACACATTTACGTACTGGAGTTTCATCTTGCTCTTTGTTACTACTTGCCAAGCACCAACTTTTTAATTTGATTTTTGTAGGCACTTGTTTTATGCTATTTCCTGGAAACAAATGCAAAGCAGTATAATATGGTTGATAAAAACGTGATTGAAATTGGAGCTGGAACAGGGTTGGTCTCCATTGTGGCAAGTTTACTGGGTAAGTAGGTATTTTTGATTGAATGTGGGAATGAAAATTTAATGATCCAAAATAAGTAGTCCTTACTCTCCAGTGTGCTATATGACCTGAGTCTCTTTGTAACCTTAATTGTTTAAATGGACTTCATCAATAAACTGTACCAATCCTTATGTCTCTTGACCATTTCATTCCTGAATTTGTGGTAATTCTCCCATGGGGCACTAACCCACAAGCCTTAGCTGAAGCACACCTAAGTGGAGGTTCAGTTCATCATCCTGATTATTAGAACAGACTGTGAAACAGGCTTACATGGTTTATTGATGCTGATTTTGATGTTCTTTAGATTTTAGCATTATTTCAATGTTCTTAGGTAGCTGTAGATTCCTTTTGGGTTTTGAAGTCCTATGCTTTTATGAAAAGTGCCTGTTAGAATAGAGAGGGATATTGGAAATCATGTAACAGTCACACATCTGCTTCTATTTTTAGGGGTTTGGATTTATTTTCTCAGGTCACTTCCATTCTTTTATGACCCTCCTTCTCTCAACAGCGGCTTCCCCACTGAACGTGTGTGATCATCTCCATGTTTGCCAGAACCTGTTTCAGTTCAGTCTTTCTTTGTTGTTACCTATTTCATCGCCTTAATTTAGCTGCCTTCTCTGAGGTGCACTACCCAAATCTGCTTGATTTCCTTGATCTTCAGAAGTGCACACCTGCCACTCTACAGTCTTGAGAGGAATTTGAGATTTAGTAATTTACAACTTTCTAAACACTGGAGAGGAGTAGGACCCTTGAAGTTCTCCCAGGTATTTTAAAGGAATAGCTCCGTCCACAGTGCTTTCCAAAGTCACTGTTCCATTTGGTATGGGTAGAGTCAGAGACACTATTTGATTTATACTGAAAGCCTCCAGGTACAGAGACAGAATTTGTGTTTTGGGAACTCATTTGTTTTATTAAGAAGAACTGATCCCTTCAGTGAGTTTGTCTAACTTGGAACAAACATCAAAAGATGGAGGTCTTGTTTAGTCAGTATTCTCAGAGCGGTGGTGCTTATCTCTCTAGACACAAAGTTCTCAAAATTAACAGGTAGTTTATACTTAGCATTGGCAGGGCATGTTCCCGATCTTGAGATTTAAAAATATTTGTTGAAAATGACCGATTTCATACACACTAGAATGTGGAGGTTCATCTTTCTGTGATTTTGCCAGTGATGTGTATATTTCCCTCCCATTTTTATACTTTTTACAAAACATTCCTGATCAGTGTTAAGAGAAACTTGACATTGTGGCTAAGGGATGGATTATCATTTCTCTGAGCGACCTCTTCCAGCATTGCTTTCCCGTTTCGTATTCCGGCCTGTGCTTGTCTGATGCTGTTGTTTTAGCCATCCTTAATTTTATTTAGATTATTTTCAGGTCTGATACTGTTAAAAGTTCTCTTTAAGAATGAAATTTCTATAAATTTGTTCCTACCAAATTCCTGCCTGAAAATGATCGCTGCTGTATACTTATAACTTGGGAATTCTTTCTATCCCTCTAATCTAAACATTTTTCCTGCATCTATGATCTTTGACTTTATGATCATCACATTTATGTTATGGATAGGTTTTAGACAGGTCATGATGGGAAGATTTACACTTGTGATGGAGTCGAGTTGAAAACTTAGCATAAGCATAGATGTCAAGATACTGTCCATGTGATGCATTGAAAAGTTTTCTTCCCTCCATTGCTCTGACCTGAGCATTTCCTGAATACCTGCAGGAAATGTTATTTGCACCCACTTGGACTCACATGACTGAAGCCCAGAGATCTTTTAGGGAAGAACTTATTTCTCTTTCATCCATGACTTTAGATTATTCTAATCAGGGCACTAAAGATTTTGAATATCTCTTTCAGTTATTTTTCTCCTAACATGTAGTACATAAATAGAAAACAACAACAACTGAGACAAAAAACTAGGAGAACAGAAAAGTTCCATGGTGTGTAAGAATATCATGGACAGAGGCCACCTTAGCATCCATTCTGAAAGGGATCATCTTTCAATATGTGCTGGCCAGACTTTTCTTTGGGACTAGCAATTAAGCAGAATAGCAGAGTTCGAGTCAGCTTGTCAGCTGATAGTGGGACCCTATCCATAGAATTACTTTTTCTAATTCCAATCTTTTGTTTTACAGGTGCTCGTGTGACTGCGACAGACTTACCTGAGTTACTTGGAAACCTGCAGTATAATATTTCCTGCAACACCAAAATGAAATGCAAGCATTTGCCTCAGGTTAAGGAACTCTCCTGGGGAGTAGCTTTAGATAGAAACTTCCCCAGGGCCTCCAGTAGTTTTGACTATGTCCTGGCAGCGGATGTTGTCTACGCCCACCCGTTCCTAGAAGACCTCCTCCTTACCTTTGACCATCTGTGCAAAGAAACGACCATTGTCCTCTGGGCCATGAAGTTCAGGTTGGAAAAAGAAAATAAATTTGTAGATAGATTTAAGGAGCTGTTTGATCTGGAGGAAGTTTCCAGCTTCCCTAGTCTGAATATTAAGTTGTATAAAGCTGTGAAAAAAAATCGAAGGAATGCATAATATCCTCTAATGAAGACATGGAAGTGTTCAGGTGATTTCTAGCAGATTATTACTCTAAAGAAGACCTGAATGATCTCTTGCACCACTACTTTCCCAAAGGGAAATGTACAGTATACACACACTCTCTCTTTCTCTCTCTCTCTCTCTCTCTCTCTCTCTCTCTC